GTGGCTCGGACCAGGTGCGCCTCTTCCACATGCGTTGGCCCAGAAGTTTCAGCTCGGGACCTGGGCATAGCCATGGCCAGGAGGAGGAGGGTGAGGAGGAGGAGGAGGGTGAGGAGGAGGAGGAGGAGGAGGAGGAGGAGGAGGAGGAGGAGGAGGAGGAGGAGGAGGAGTAGGAGGAGCCTTTCAAGCCTTTCGTCCCTCGCGCAAGCGAGTCGGCCCGCGCCCGCGCCGTCGGCGGGCAGGCCCCGCTCGGGGATCGCGGCCCTGGGGCCCACTCCATCTCAACTCCCGTCTTGCGGAGGCGAATGGAGCAGTGCTTCGTGATGGGCGTCCGTGCTTGGGGTCACGTCGTCACCATCTTCCATCGCCATTATATTCCATATGTTCAGCTTGTACTTGAGGCTGCTGTACGACGGTGAGCTTTTGCACTCCGCTTGCATTTTCTGAGACATGCACTCCACGGCAGTCATTCCACAGCTTCGGCAGTACCAGCGATTCTCTCTGCTCAGGTATTGGAGTCGATGTGTGGGGTGCGCTGTGCTACCATGTAGGAGGAGGAGGAAGAGAAAGACCAAGAAGAGGAGGAGGAGGCGGAGGAGGAGGGAGGGGGGCGAGGAGAATGAGGAGGGCGACCACGGGGAGGCAGATGAGGAGAGATGAGGATCAGGAGAAGGAGTATGATGAAAACTACTGTACAGTAGGTTCGTGCGGCGTTGGCGCGCGCAAAAATTTTGAACACCGATCCGATCGTTCAACCTTGAATCAATCACGTCCCCGATCGTTCAAAGTTGAATTCAATCGGACCCAATGGCGTTACCGTGTCCCTCGGTGTTTCCGCGTCGCTGAATTTCACCTAGCTGGGATAAACCTTGAAACTGCAGTAAACACGCAAAACAAACGTGCGAGGCGCCAGTGCGACAGGCACATGTTGAAAAAGAACCGCCCTCCATCAGAGAAACTCGTGCTCTTGCATTCCTTGTGACGAATACACGTAGCGTTCATGCGAGAAACTCATGTGTGAAGAAAACGCCCTCCACACGTGAAACTCTTGCAATTGCTGATGTGTGTGGCGCTGGGCGAGAACAACACATTGAAAACGGCCCGCCCTCCATCCGTGAAGCTCTTACAACAATAAAAGACGAATGCGCGCGGCGCTGAGGCGAGAACCACGTGTTGAAACCGACCCGCACTCAATCCGTGAAACTCTTACAAAATTTGAAGACAAATGTGCGCGGCGCTGAGGCGAGAACCACATGTTGAAAACGACCCGCACTCACTCCGTGAAACTCTTACGAATTCTGAAAACGAGGATGCGCGGCGCTGAGGCGATAACTACATTTTGAAAACGGCCCGCCTTCCATTCGTGAAACCATTGCAAATTCAAAGCTTCAAGATCTGAGGTGGTGAGGGAACCTCAGGTGAAACGCCCAGTCCGCCCTTCCAACTGGCCTCGGGGCGCGACAGGGAAAAAAATGCTCATAAGGGAAAGGAATGGAAAAGGAGGAGGAGGATGGGCACCAGATCTGGATGTGATTCGACGTGGCGGCCTCTCCGGTCCTCCGCTCCGGGCCGCCCCCGGAGAGCCCGCGGGGGCGCCATCCCCGCGCCAGCGGAAGACCGAGGATCGAGGAGCACGGGGCGGTGCGCAGTCGACACGGCCGCCGCGCCCCCCCGACCCCGCGCGGCAGCGCATGGCGAATACCGCTGAGGCGCGCAAATCCACGGGTCCGTCCTCCACCGCCTGCTCGGGAGAGGGGGCGGGAGGAGGGAGGAGGCCTCCGAAAGCCCAGAGGGCCAGACGCGGGCGAAGCACCGAGATCCCCGAGCCCCCCTCTTTCGAAGAAAAATGCACAGCGTAAACATAAACGCCTAGAGCTCCGCGCGGATTCCTTGCGTCGGCGCTGGAGGCACCTCCATGGGGGCCAGGAGTCCAGCCGAGAAACCCGCGCGGGGCTCCGAACGTTTACGTGTATGCCCTTGCCTCCTCTCCTTCGGAAGAGAGGGCCTGGACCTGGAGGCCTTCCCCCAAGACCAATCCTTCATCCCGAACCGTTTTCTGACGGTCCCGGGGCCCAAGGCCCCAGAGAGCCCAGGATGACCTGCTTCCTTCAGAGCCCGTGTCAGGCAGCTATTACTGCAAATCCTGGCAAGCTTACGCACCGTGGAGTCGAGGGGCGCGGCGAAGCCCGAAGAAAGTCTGGACGTCGCGCACGTCGGGATACACATTGGCACGCTAGCACGATTGGAGAAGGCAACGGCGGCGAGAGGTGGGGATGCAACGCGCGTAAACTTGCTCAAGCCCGAAATACACCAGAGAAACACCCAATCAGTGGATGGTTTGAAAATTAGTGATATGGATATTGAGATCGAATGTGAGTTCGATCGTGGAATCGATAGCGCCATCGATTGTAGTAAAGTCGATCGTGAGAACTACAATGGCATCGAAACATTGAGCTCTATAGTGAGGTCGATCGTGAGATCGCTCGTGCGATCCATGGGGAGATCGACTGTGAGATCAATAAGAAGATCGATTGTAATATTAATAGAGAGATCGATGGAGAGGTGGGTAATGAGATCGATGGTGAGACCGATCGATAAGAAGATGAACCAGAACCCCGGGAACCCGGGAACCCCGCCGCCCACCGAAAACGGTCGGGAACCCAGAACGGGGAACACGGAACCCGAAACCGGGAAGCCGGGAACCCTTGCCGACTATACCGACATCGGCCCGGCACTTTCGCCAAATCTTTCAATCTCCGCTAGGACCCTTTCAGCGCAAGCACTGATTGGGGTATAAAAACAAACACGCGGACACCGTTCGGGATTGCAGCCCTGAATCCAGGCCGCCGCTGCCGCTCGCCGCTCGCCGCCGCCGATTCGTTGATATGGATACGCTCGCCGCTCGTAGTTAGCCATCCGCTCGGACCCCGTTCGGGAGGCCCCTGGGTATCCTGGGTTTCTTAATAAGCGTGGGGGGCACCCGGGCCAGCCCCCCCGACGGGGGTCAACCTCGCCGCGTCGTCGCGCCGCGACAGGGGTCGGAGCGCCTTCGGCGCGCGGTGGCTGCCCGCGACGGGGGTCGATGTGGAGCTGTCGGCGGGGGTGACGCCCGCCCGACGCTTAATTCTCCAATCAATGCTTGCACTCAATGGTTCCTAGCGGAAATTGAAAGATTAAGCGAGAAATTCCCGCCGATTTTGGTAGCCGGCTGGGTTCCCGGGTTCTCGGTTCCGGGCTCCCGGTTCCTGGTTATTGGTTATACGGGCCGATTCCGGTGGGTTCCGGGCTCCCGGGTTCCCGGCCGATCTTCTTGTCGATCTCTTCATCGATCCCATCTCAAACCATCCACTGATTGGGCTTCGTCTCTGGTGTAAGAAGAAACTCGGAATATGGCCTGAGTAGGGCACCCTCCCCGAAACGACCTCGAACTTCTATCTCGGTCCGACTGCGGCAAACCTCACGTACAGCCGCTTTCCCTGGCACCCCCTGGCGCTGGAGGCGCCCGTGTGCCGAGGGGAGGGCGCCACCTGGCCGCGGGACCAAGACGCAGACGCGTGCCGCAGGCCTCGCGCGCTCCCTCCTCCTCTTCTAGCCCGCGGGCACGCTCGCCGCGGAGAGCTGGGGATCCCCCAAACCGTGTGGTGACAGACCGTGCGGTGACCTCGGAACCCCAAAAGGCCTCGACCCCGGAGGCCCCTGCCGCCCAAGACATCCCCAGAGAGGGGCTCGGGCTCCAAACCGTGCGGTGACCCCGGATCCCCACCGACTCAAGGCGTGGTCACCGACGGATCGTTCCAGGTCGCTGCGCACGACCGCGGCGCCCGACGCGTGCTGCAGAGCCGCCGGGCGCCCAGGCCCCTCCCAGGACAAGCAGAAACGTTGGGAGGTCCGCGCGGAGGACGAGAAGGAGGAGGAGGAGGAGGAGGCGGAGGGGAGGAGGAGGAGGAGGAGGAGGAGGAGGAGGAGGCGGAGGAGGAGGAGGAGGAGGAGGAGGAGGAGGAGCAGGAGATGGAGGAGGAGAAGGAGGAGGAGGAGGAGCAGGAGGAGGGGACCGCAGCAGTGCGCCCCATGTGGGGGAGAAGACTCCATCTGCTGGCAACGGGCGCCCACAAACAGCCAAGACGTACTCTGGGGGGGGGAAGGGGGGGGGGTCGAGGGCCCGCGCCGATCGGCAAAACAAGGAATACAAAAACGATCACCTATGATCAGGTCGGACCTGTCCCCCTACAGAGGGGATTCTGGAGGAAAAATAAAGAGTCAAAACGTACGCCAAAATGGTCAAGAATAGACGAAACATCGAACTCGTACTATTTCTTGATTATTTTTGAATGTTCCTCCTGTAGAGGGGCAGGCCCGACTTAAACCTATGCTCGTGCTGTTGTTCTGTCTTTCCCAACAACCAAAGGGGGTGCCGTGGCCCGCCCACCCCGGGCCAGCGCGCGCCACTGCTCGCGGAGGGAGTCTGCTCGCAGACGGCCTGGATCCGCCGCGGGGGGCTCGCGATCCATCACGTAGGGGCAAACATTGAAGGGGCCCTGGGACACACAAATAACTAGGCACAAATACCATGATTCACCATCTGTTCTCATATTTTCTGGATTTCGGTCTTCCCCCCACTTCCTGTATCTTCCCAAATTGTCTAAGGAAACGACGATGAATCGTGTCTGTATTGTTGTCCCTCCTGGAACATGTGCTCTTGTCAAAGACATTTGCATGCACAGGCGGACCTGGGTCAGAAGAGCATCCCCCGAGGACATGAGACCCTCCGTCGGCCAAAACGCACAGAACATCCGAGGGCACCCTCCCCAGGGTGCACAAGAGCATCCAACAAGCACGCGGCACCCTCCCCGAAGCGACCTCGATCTCATACCTCGGTAGAGGCCAACATGTGCTTTGCCAGACATTTGCGGGTAGTCACTTTGCGAGTCGTGGACTGCACTCGGCGACGCGCCCCTTTCCGCCAGGGCAAGGGGGGGTTCGGGGCCCGGGCGGGCGCGCGCCTGCGGCAGGCGGCGTTCCGGGCGAACTGCAGGTCGCCACAGGCCGAGCATATCCAGTCACCTCTGCGGCGAGTGCAGTGCGGCGCACCTTCGCCCTCTTCGCGGGGGGAACAGAAGGGGGGGATAGCAAAGGGCAGGGTAGAGGATCAGCTCACGTAGCTGATTCTCCCAGCGCCTCCCGACGCCGGGAGGCGCCCATGTATCGAGGGATGGGCCCAGCAGCGGGGCCGAAACCAGCTGCATGCAGCAGATTTCATAACCCCCGCTTTCCCTTTTCCCCCCTTTCGTTCGGCCCGAGATGAGTACCGTGCGGCGCACCGTCGCCCTCTTTGATGGCAACTCATGGGAGCCTCCCATACCATCTTGTCGGCTATTGCTAATCGACGCTACTATTTGACGCTAATCGACGTGAAATCGACGTCAGTCGACGCTGATCGTAGCTAAACCGGCGCTATCCCATCGACTATTGACGCTAGTCGACGCTAAAGACAGAATGAAGAGGCCATGCAAGGCTCCCATGATTTGTCATCGAATCCTCCTCCTCCTCCTCCTACTCCTCCTCCTCCTCCTCCTCCTCCTCCTCCTCCTCCTCGTCCCCGTCCTCGCCCCCCTCCTCTCTCCTCCTGATGAGGGGGGATCGGGGATCTCGGCCCTTCGCTCGCTTTTGGCCCTCTGGGCTTCCAGAGGCATCCTCCCTCCTGCCTCCTCCTGCTGCCTCCTCACATGTGAGGCCCTCCTCCTCACAAGTCGGGCGAGATTGCGACCCTCCTCACAAGTGAGGGGACGTAACCTGTGTGCCCGCGGCGCACGCCGGCCAGCACCGAGGCCGTCCACTGACGCACGACTGTTCCCGCCCGCCGCTGCCCATCTCCTCCGCCGAGCAGTCGCTGGAGGATGGATCCCTGGAATTGCCCACCTCAGCGCTGTGCGCCCTGCGATGCCGCGCGGTCGCGGATGGCGCGGCGGCCGTGCCGACTGCGCACCCCCACGTGCTCCTCGATCCTCGATCCTCCGCAGGCGCGGGGATGGCACCCCCACCCGCTCTCCGGGGCCGGCCCTGAGCGGAGAGCCGAAGAGGCCGCCACATCGAATCAGATCCAGATCTGATGCCCCGCCTCCATTCCATTTGCTTATGGCTCACTCCTCCCTGTCGCACCCCGAGGACAGTGGCGGGCTGGGCGTTTCGCCTGAGATTCCCTTACCACTTATGAGCCTGAAGCTGAAAAACTGACAGCCACTTCACCGATGGAGGGCGGGTCGCTTCCAACATGTGGCTCTCGCCGTTTCGCCAGGCACTTTGGTCTGAAACATGTGCAACATATTCACTGATTGAGGGCGGGTGGTTTTCAAAACGTGGCTCTCGCTTTCGCGCCGCGCAAGTTTGTTTCCATCACTGGCAGCAAGCAGGGTCCGCAGATGCAGGGCAGGCAGGAGAAGGAGTAAGGAGGGGATAAGCATGAAGGAATCGAGGAGAGCAGGGACGCCTAGCTACATGGTTGTAACGCGGGCCCAAAAGGTGAAACGCGGTTGTCTTCGCAACACGAGCCCTGGCACAGGGGGCCGGCCACACAGCAACGGCGGAGTTTCGGCCACGCTCGCAAGACAACCTCCTCAAGGGCGGGTCCACAGACGAATGTACATATGTGTCCTACGTGGGCGCAGTGAATTGTCAAGGGGGGCCTGCCCCTCCTACCCATAACCCTCGAGGCTGAAAATTTGAAGACCTTCACGGATTGAGGGCGGGTGGTGGTTTTCGAAATATGGGTGCGCCGCGCACACTCTTTAAACGAATATAACCGCTTCATGGATGGAGCGCGGGTGGTTTTGAAAATGCGAGTCTCACCTTAGCGCCGCGCGCATTCGTTTAAACAACTGCAACCGCTTCACGGATGGAGGGCGGATGGTTTTCAAAGTGTGGGTCTCGCCTGAGCGCCGAGCACATTCGTTTCAAACTTTGTCAAGAACTTCACGGATGGAAGGCCGTCCCCTGAAAATGTGGGTCTCGCCTTCGCGCCGCGCACATTCACTTCACATCGACACGGTGCAAGAGTTTCGCTGATTCTCAGCGTTAGCGTACCAGAAGTAATGTGTTGGAGCGCTTCAGGGTAGTCAGGGCGAAACTATTATGCTGATTCGCTGTGTTGCAGTCCCCAGAATGGTGTTCTGACACGCTTCGGGATCGTCAAGACGCAACAGTCCAGTTGACTCGGGCGTTGAAGTCCTGAGAATGGTGCCTTAGCACGCGTCAGGGTCCCCCAACGGGACACTTCCTTCAGTGGAACTGAACCCTTGTAGAGGCCTGTGAAGAGGAAGCTTTTTTGCGAGTGTGTACTCCAACATCGTTGGTGAGTCTTGGGTTTGCACTGGTCGTCCTCCTCTAGGTCGCCCAACTTCGCCTGATGTTGAGAGTGTCTCTTCGGACGTGGGCTCGACGTCGGCTTAAGGCATCGTTGCGCACATGCAGTCTCGGACGCCCTTTTTCTGCACAGTCCTGCACAGCCTCGCGCTGCGCGCTGCGAGAGATACGATAAGCGGTTCTCTTCGCGCCCTCGCGCCGCCCCCTGGCGAGGAGCATCCGCCCAGCCCGGGCCGCGAAGGGGGAGATGCGGTCGTCTTCTCGCCCGGGCAGGTCCTCCAGCCTCCTCATACCCCTCCCACTGTGTCTTCCCTGCATCCCCATGCTTTCCCTCCTCCTGATCCACATGCCGCCTGCGTGGGCAGACGAAACCTGCATACGGAAGCACGAGTCTTCGGAAGCCCGCGCGGATGTCTTCGACCAGCGCTTGACCCCTCCTGGCGGCGCTTTTGGCGCCGCCCCTGATGCGCTACGCACTTCGGGGAGGGGGGCCCATCGCCGATCCAACCGCCTGCGAGGGCCTCAGAACATGTGTTGTTGTGCAGCTGTTGCTTTTTTGTGTTGCTAATTATGTGTTGTTGTTGTTTGTTGTTGTTGTTGGTGTTGGTGGTGGTGGTGATGGTGTGTGTGTGCCTGCGTGCGTGCGTGCGTGCGTGCGTGTGTGTGTGTGTTTGTGTGTGTGTGTGTGTGTCTGTGTGCGTGTTTGTTCTGTGCGTGCTCGTGAATTTTTGCGTGTTTGGTTTGTTGTGCTTTTTGTTGTGCTGTGCGTTGTGTGTTGTGATGTGTGTTTTGTATGTGTCTCTTGCGCGGTCTCCGAAAATGTATGCTGTTGTGCAACTGGTGTTCATCCACTGCTGCTCCTCGTCATCCGGATCCTCCTCCCAAACGGTCGTCTGACGGCTCACGTCGGCCTTGCGATTGGAAGGAACACGTTGTCGTGAACCTCCGCCTACTCGCCCCGTCCACCCGAACCAACTCTGGGCCCACTCAACCACCACTACTGCCACCCGCCTCCTACCTTCTGCCTCGGGCTTGGACTCGGCCTCGGGCTCGGGCTTAGGCTCGGACTCGCGCTCTGGCGCCTCCGGCTCGGGGCCTTGGGCCTGGGGCTTGGCGTATGCGTGCTCGGTCTCGATCTTGGACTCTGTGTCTTGCTCCCTACCCGTTCCCTCCTTGTCAGCGTGCTCCGCCTCCTGGCACCTAGTACGTATACTCACACTCGTCATCTTCCTCCTGAATGTCTTCATCTTGAACCCCACGTCTGCTCTCCTCAGCAACCAAGTTGTAAACCTCCTCATCCTCCTCCGCCTTCCCGTCGCCGACCTCATCCTGTTCCTTCATCTCCTCTCTTCCTGCTACTCCTATTCCGCCGCTGTCTCATCCTCCGCCTCTTCTACTCCTACATACTTCGCCGTGTTCTCCTCCACGCCCCTCCTCCTCCTCCCTGCTCCGACATTTTCTCCTCCGCCCCCTCCTTCTTCTCCTCTCCAACACACAGCTTCGCTCCACCTGCCGTGGGCACCCTCCCAGCAACCTATCCGCCCGATCCCCCCTCATATCATCTTCTCCTCCTCGTCCTCCTCCTCCGCCTCCTCGTCATCCTCATCATCCTCCTCGTCTTGTTCTTTGGAACCAACGCCATGCATCAGAGGAAAACAAGGCACTGCCACACGAGACGACATGCCAGTGCCGCGAAAACAGCTGTGCAACTGATCCTTCCGCCCAAGCCTCGAAGGGCCGAAACTCCTCGTCCTCTTGCTCCGCCCTCTTCCCGTCATACTCCCCGAGGCCTCTCATCGCACGCCAAGCGAAGCCGTCCTGCCTCCCTGGTCCCCCGTTCTCCTCGCCCTCATCCTTCATCCCTCCCCGTCCTTGTGCTGCTGTTCCTGTTCCTAGTCCCCTCTCCGTTGCCCCTCCTCCTCCTCCGAGCCTGGAAGGGCGACATAACAACATAAATACAACGAGTTGGAGATCCGCGCGAATGTGTTCGATCGGTGATGGACCGCCCTCCCTGGCGCACGGAGATTGGCAGGGGCGTCGCTGGAGGCGCCGCCGTGGGGGGTCAACGCCGACTTCAGAACTCCGTGCGGAGCTCCGAATGTTTTATGCATATGCACTGTGCTCCCTTCTTCGAGCTTCTCCTTTCCCTCCTCCTCCTGTTCCTTCTGCTCCTGCTCCTGCTCCTGCTCCTCCTCCTCCTCCTCCACCTCCTCCACCTCCTCCTGCGTGGCCTTCTTTGGAGACCTGATTGTTCGTGGCCACGACTCCAGGCCTCGGCATGGCATCATTGCGGAATAGGCGCGCTGGTATGAGAGGATGGAGGGCATCGGGAGGCAGAAGGAGGACGAGCATTAGCCTGGCGAAGGACCCAACCATATGCAATTGCGGGTGTCGCATTCGGTGGAGATCCCAATGGGGTCACGAATCGTGCGAGTCGTGCCACAACGGGTGCGGCGGGCGCACGCGAGCGTTGGCATCTGGGCCTTCGGTGGAGCTCCCCATGGGGCCACGAAACGTGTGTGGGGAATGCCATGATATCGGAGAAAAAACCCAATCAGGGCTATAGGGCTAGGGGGCTATAGGGCTATTGAGCTAATAGAGCTATAGGGCTTTAGAGTTGTAGGGCTATAGAAAATTGGGCTATAGGACCATAGAGCTATAGGGCTATAGGGCACCCCCGGGCACCCCCTGGCAACCCCCTGGCACGCCCGGGCACCCAAGCACCCGGGCACCCGCGGGCCCCCTCCGGGCACCTGGGCCCCGGGCACCCCCGGGCACCAGGGCACCCGGGCGTGCAGCGAAAATCGGCGAGAAACCTAACCTAACCATATGATACCGGAGAAAAAAAACAATCAGGGCTATATGGCTATAGGGCTACAAGGCTGTAGGGCTATAGGGCTATAGAGCTATGGGGCGATAGAGTGGTAGGGCTACAAGGCTATTGGGCACCCCCGGGCTATAGAGCTATAGGGCTATAGAGTGGTAGGGCTATTGGGCTATAGGGCACCCCCGGGCACCCCCCGGGCACCCGGGGCCTGGGCACCCGGGCACATGGGCGAGCAGCGAAAATCGGCGACAAACCTAACCTAATCATATGAATCCGCTAGTACAGAGGCAAGCTCTGATTGGGGAATGAATCCGCTAGGACCCCTACAGAGGCAAGCCCTGATTGGGGAAAAATGGGTGCGGCGGGCGCATGCGAGCGCTGGCATCTGGGCCCTCGGTGGAGCTCCTCTGGGGCCTCGAAGCGTGTGAGAAATGTGCTGAAATGGATGCGGCGGGCGCATGCGAACGCTGTCATCTGGGCCTTCGGTGGAACTCCCTACATGAAATTGGTGAGGGGTGCGCCGAACTGGGTGCGACAGCCGCATGCGAGCGCTGGCATCTGGGCCTTCGGTGGAGCTCTCTACTGGCCGACGCAACGTGCGAGGGGTGTGCCAAAGTGAGGAGGGTAACGGGAGGATGATGATGAGGAGGAGGAGGAGGAGGAGGAGGAGGAGGTGGAGGAGGAGGAGGAGGAGGAGAGGAGGAGGAGGAGCAACAGCAGTAGGAGGAGGAGGAGGAGGAGGAGGAGGAGGAGGAGGAGGAGCAGGAGGAGAGGAGAGGAGAGGAGAGGAGAGGGGATGAGAGGAGAGGAGAGGAGAGGAGAGAGGAGCCGAGGAGAGAAGAGGAGAGGCGAGAACAGGAGAGGAGAGGAGGAGAAGGAGCAGGAGCAGGAGCAGGAGCAGGAGCAGGAGCAGGAGCAGGAGAGGAGAGGAGAGGAGAGGAGAGGAGAGGAGAGGAGGAGAGGAGAGGCGGAGGAGTCGCGGGGATCTTTTTCGAAAACGAAAATCCAACACCACAATAGTGTCGGGAAAAACAACCCCAATGAACATCGAATCGGGAATACTGATCGAGTCGGAATCTGCGAAGAATCGGCCCGCATCGGCACGGAATCGAGATCGAATGGGATCGGCTGCGTCAAAATACACAACCATGCCATGCATCCATCGGGCCAAATAAGATCGCCGGAATGACGGAATCGACTCGGATCGGGCAATCCTAAATCGGCACCGAACAGGATTGATCGGCTCGAGAAGGGCCCTGGGAGGACGGCAGAACGGAGGACAACGACGACCAGAACGATGAGGATGGAGGAGGAGAACGAGGGAGGAGGGAGGAGGGAGGAGGAGGGTGAAGGGAGGAGGGAGGGAGGAGGGAGGAGGGAGGAAGGAGGAGGGGTGAACACCCCGGCCATTCAGTAGTCTTGCTGCGAACGATCCCCATGCAAGAACGTGAGGCGGGACACCCAGGGACTGATGGGCTTGTTTTCCAACGCCGCCACCCTAAGTTGGAGGGGGAGGGTGTCCTCCTCCACCTCCTTCTCCTCCTCCTCCTCCACCTCCTCCTCCTCCAACTTATGGTGGTGGTGGTTGCGGAAAACAGGCCCATCAAGGTACACTCTGAGCCTTGCGGCCACGGCATGCGATGGTCATCCGTCGAAGGCACGAGGCGGGATGCCCAAGGGGCACCAGCACGCTTGGCCTGGCGGCCGTGGTACAGTACTCGGCCTGACCTAAGGAACGATAAATAAGGAACGAAGTCCGTTTTGATGGACCTGTTTACACCACCACCACCATAAGTTGGAGAGGGGGAGGGGGTCCTCCTCTTCCTCCTCCTCCTCCTCCTCCTCTTCGTCCTCGTCCTCCTCCTCCTCCTCCTCCTCCTCCTCTTTGTCCTCCTCTTCCTCGTCCTCCTCCTCCTCCTTCCGCCAACTTATGGTGGTGGTGGTGGTGGAAAACAGGCCCATCACCTTTATTCCAAGGAAGTCTAGGAAGTCCGAAGGAACACCAGGGGTGCTCGCCGCCAAAAAGGTAGAGGAACGCATGCAGACCAAAGGAGCGACCGAGTCCTCTTGAAAGGTAAGAGTTCCTTATTCAGGCCAGACCCTGTGTGAGGGGTGTGCGAAGCGGGTCTTGAGCTCTTTCTTCAAACCTGTTAACCCCAACCTGTTGGGCAGGGAGCAGCACCATCGTCACTGTCATCATCATTCGGCCAGCCCATGCCATTGTTCCCCTTCCAACTTAACCACACATCCTCCTCCTCCTCCTTCTCGGAATCTCTGCCTCCACATATCGTCCGCCTGTCCCCTACGACCACCCCGGCATATCTCCCTCGTCATCCCCGCCCCCCCCTCCGCATGTTTTTTCCTTCCCTCCCGCTCACCCTCCGCCTCCAACCGCACCTTGTCCTCCTCCTGCTTACGCCCCACCTGGTTGTACAGCGAGGCCCCGCCAACGACTTCGTGACAGCCGGGGCACGCCCCGTCGGCTGATCCGACGGAACGGTCGGTGGAACGTCGCTCAAACGGACCTCATCGCGTCTTCCCGTCCTCATACCCCCGCTTTCCTCCTCCTCATCCTGGTCCTCCTCCTCCTCCTCCTCCTCCTCCTCCTCCTACCCCTCCTCCCCATCCCGCTTCATTCCTCTCTCTCCCTATGGCTCCCCCCTGCGCAGTCCACCTGCCTAATCCTCCCCGTCTAGATCCCTCCTGATCCTCCTCCTCCTCCTCCTCCTCCTCCTCCTCCTCCTGCTCCCCCTCCCCCCTCCCTCCTCCTCCACAGCCCCCCCCTCCGCCTCCTCCTCCTCCACAGCCCCCCCCTCCGCCTCCTCCTCCTCCTCCTCCTCCTCCTCCTCCTCATCCTCATCCTCATCCCCATCCCCATCCTCATCCTCATCCTCATCCCCATCCCCATCCCCATCCTCATCCTCATCATCTCATCCTCATCCTCATCCTCATCCTCATCCTCATCAACCTCATCCTCATCAACATCATCATCATCATCATCATCATCATCATCATCATCATCATCATCATCATCATCACCATAATCACCATAATCAGCATCGTCATCCTCATCCTCATCCTCATCCTCATCCTCATCCTCATCATCGTCATCCTCATCCTCATCCTCATCCTCATCCTTTTCCTCATCCTCATCCTCATTCTCATCCTCCTCATCATCATCACCACAACCACCATCATCATCATCATCAGCAGCATCAGCATCAGCATCAGCATCAGCATCAGCATCAGCATCAGCATCAGCATCAGCATCAACATCATCATCATCATCATCATCATCATCATCATCATCATCATCATCATCATCATCATCATCATCATCAATTCAACGGACCAGTGGAGCGGCCCGTGAACTGGTGCTTGCCTCCACAGGTCCGCGGGTTCGCTACCCTCCCCTTGCTTTGGTCCCGAGCTGGGCTTCCCGCATGCGCTCAGCCCTGCATCAGGGGTTCTACCAATGAGGACCTCCTACTCTTGCACCCGACTGCGAATCTGAGCCAGTCCTCCTCCCCTGCGCAAGGTCGGGCAGGGCGGTTGGTATGTATCACATCACCCTTCGCATTCGCTATCACGCCCAGGAAGAATCAGCGAGCGCTCGGGGCGGATCCAAATGCGGGCGCCAGGTAAGTGCAGGACCATAGGTGTCATGATACAGTCGGCAAAGGATAAGGCGAAGCTGAGGCTAGAGGAGCAAGGGCGGGGGAGGGGGGGGGGGTCCGGCTCCGGACCTCTGCTTAGTGCGACTGTTTGAAGCAGTGCGTCCATTATGGGGGAGGCTCCACCTGTTCTAGACAGGCGCCAAAAACAGCCAAGATCTACTCCTGGGGGGGGGGAGGGGGTGGTGCGAGGGCCCGCGCCGATCGGCAAAATGACGAATCAGAAAAAACGACCACCTTACACAAGGACACCTCGCCAGATGTGCACGATCAGCGCTGCCCTCTCCCAGTGAGCCCACTACCAACGCGACAGTTGCGCAGTTCGCAGCCACCCAGGCAGCCGCGCGGTCCCGGCTAAGCTCGCTCCACCTCGTTCGAAGAGGCAGCCCAGCCGGGGAGGGCCAGCGTTCTCGACGGTCGATCCGTCCTCCTCCTGCTCCTCCTACTGAGGGGCAGCGATAAATAATGAACGAAGCCCTTTTTGTCCAAGGCATAACGCATAAGGAACGATCAATAAGGCATGCGAACCTAAGGAACGACCGAGCCCCTTTTGAAAAGTAAGCGTTCCTTATTCAAGCCGCTCACTGTAGGCGGGGGGAGGGACTAGCTCAGGGGGGGAACCGAGTTGGAAACCGCACGTTCCTCGGGCCCACATCGGCGATGTGTGGGCGGTTGGGGGTCGATGCGGCCGCACCCGAGCTTAACCCCCTCTTGCGCTGCCCCTGGCTCGGGCTTCCCCACAGGGCGCCGCGGGGCCCCAACCGAGTCCCCGTGTCCCCCCACTCCGCTGGACCTCCCAGGAGCCCACGAAAGTATCGCCAGCTTCAAACTTCGCAGCCCCCAAAGAGTCGCGAGGCCCCAACCGTGTTATCGTGTCCCCCCACTCCGCTGGACCTCCCAGGAGCCCACGAAAATTGCGCCAATTCCACACTTCGCTGCTCCTCAGGGAACTGCGAGGTCCCAACGGGATCCCCTTGTCCCCCCCCACTCCGCGGGACCTCGCAGGAGCCGACGAAAGTAACGCCTGTTTCACACTTCGCAGCCCCCCCAGGGAGCCACAAGGTCTCAACGGGATCATCGTGTCCCTCTACTCCGCAGGAGCTCCCAGGAGCCCATGAAAGTGGCGACAATTGCCCCTTCGCAGCCCCCCAGGCAACAACGAAGTCTCAACGGGATTCCCGTATCACTCTACTCCGCTGGACGTCCTGGGAACCCACGAAAGTGGCGACAAATACACACTTCGTCCCTCCTACCCCCACCCCCACCCCCACCCCAAAGGAAACCGACGGTCTCAACGAGATCTCCGCGTAACTCCACTCCGCGCAACCTCCCAGGAACCCACGAACGTGGCGACGCTTGCGCTTTTCGCATCCCCGCAGGAAAGCGAGGTCCCACCTGGATGCCTGTGTAACTGCACTCTGCGTGACCTCCCAGGAACCCACGAAAAAGCGACAATTTCACACTTCGCAACCCCCACAAAGAGCCGCGAGGTCCGAACTGGTCCCAGTGTAATTCAACTCCGCGTGACCTCCCAGGAGCCCACTAACGTGGCGACGGTTGAGCACTTCGCAGCCCCCCAGGGAGCCGCGAGGTCCCAACTGGATCCCTGTATAATTAGTAGGGGCCCGACCACAAGAAACCTTCCACAAGAAACCCAATCCTTGGGACCATAGGACGACCATCGATTTTTGGTGTGGACACGTCACGCTTTCCATTGCAAAACCATCAAACCCAAGAAACCCAGGGCACCCTGGAGGCAAGCAAGGTGTTTCTTGGCATGGGCCCCCGCTGTACAACTCTACTCCGCGCGACCTCCCAGGAGCCAACGGAAGCGGCAACAGTTGCGCACACCGCAACCCCCCAATAAGCACCTCCCGGGAATCCACGAAAATGGCGACAATTTCACACTACGCAGCAAGCCGCGAGGACTCAACTGGATATCCGTGTAACTCCACTCCGCGCGACCTCCCAGGAGCCCACGAACATTGCAACGGTTGAACACTTCGCAGCCCCCCAAGGAACCGCGAGGGCCGAATTGGTTCCCCGCACAACTCCACGCCGCGGGACCTCCCAGGAGCCCACGAACGTGGCGCTGGTCACTGCGCAGAACCTCCAGGGAGCCGCGAGGGCCGAACTGGATCCCCGTACAACTCCACTTCGCACTGCCTCCCAGGAGCCCACGGAAAGTGGCGACACTTGCGCTGTTCGCATCCCCGCAGGGAGCCGAGAGGTCCAACCTGGATCCCCGTTCAACTCCACTGCGCGCGACCTCCCAGGCGCCCACGAAAGTGGCGACAGTTGCACAGTTTGCAGCCCCCCAGGGAGCCGCGAGATCTCAACGGGGTCCGCGTACTACTCCACTTCGCTGGACCTGCCAGGAGCCCGCCAGAGAAGCAGCGAGCAGGAGAGAGGAGATAAGAGGCAGGAGAGAGGAGGAAGAGGGAGGCGGAGCAGGAGGAGACTCGACCACAATGCTCAATCTAAAACGAGAACCCAACCCACGCGTAAAGCGTGCCTGACTTGCATGACGTTCAGATTTCCGTTCGGCCCTCGCCACGCCCCCCTTCCAAGCAGAGAAAACTCGCCCGAGCCTTGCGCGGGTAACCTGTGAGTATCGTTTTAGCCGATCCCCATCCCCAGCGGCGTGGCCTGGGCCCCACTGGCCGATCTACCCCCGTAGATGGGGACATAGGTCGTTCCTCCGAGTTTCGAGGGGCGTCTCCCCAACTGGGGTGGCAATTTGGTGGGGGGCCTCAGAGGGCATGGGGATGGGGACTGCTTAAACGATATCGAACCTGGGCGGCACCGCTTACTGCCTCGGCGGGGCCCGCGAGTGGGCGGTCCCGTTTCCGTCGCTTTCGGCCCCCGTGGCTCGGCGCCGTGAGGCGCAGCCAGATGCCTGTTGTCCGGCGGCCCTCTCGTCACCCAGCCAGGCCAAGCGAGAAAAAGGGTAAGCCAGAAGGTGCCGCTACCGCTACTCCGAAGACCTCTCATGGGGCGCGCTCTGCCCAGGACTTCGAGGCGAATGCAGCAGTGGCGACGAGGGCAGCCGAGGAGGCCCTAAAAAAATTGGAGAACGGGCAAAGGGCAACGGTGTGGGTGCCTTTTCCTCCCCCGACGAAAGGGCGGAAACGCCGAGGACGCATGGCGGAAGCCGGGATGGCAGCCTGGCGGGCTGCCTGACGCAGGCGGCCACGTCCGCGGGGCCACGGGCACTCTCCAGGCAGGCACGCCGCTCCTGAAGAACAGGCCCACCGACAAGCAGGTCCGCAGCGGCAGTAACAAAGGCACCACGTCCCCCTGTGGCCCCCGTGGGTGCCTCTATCACTCTCCTGCTGTGGTCAGGTGTCCTGCGCTTTGGGCCAATCCAGGCTCCACGCGGCTTCCATGTGAGGGGCCCAGAGAAGTGCGCACATCGACGATCTTTTCTTGGGTAGGGAAGGCCCGAAATTCCAATGGCCTCGGTTGGCCGCAGACTAGCGCCTCCAAACCGCGGGATCCTATGACTATTCGACGAAGCGGCCAGGGAGGCGTTAAAGGCCCCAGACGGTACCAGAACACCCTCGGGACGGCCAGCATGAGCCCAAGATGGCCCCAGAGGGTAATACACGGCCTGAAGACGGCCAGCGAGTGTCCAAAGAGCCCCCCAAGTGCTCAACAGGACCCCATGACAAGCCCAATATGGCCCAAGAGGGCCACAGCAGAGCCCAATGAAGTACGCGATGAGGAGGCGGAACAACAGGATGTACTAATGTACGCTTGCTTACAACAACCGGAACAAATCACATACCGAAACACCTTTCTTTGAAGCCGCATCAGAACTTCCGACGGCGGTTGCTTCTTGCCTTGCCATTCCGATTGCACCGACCCTGCTCTCCAAGCCTCGCTCGCGAAGGCTCGCGAAGTTTCATCAAATGACAGCCCAGGCGGCGTGCTCGGTGGCTTCGCTGAGCCGAGCTGGTGTCGCCCTTCTCGGCGCACGCGCGGGCGAGGACCTGAGCAGCCGACTTCATGGCGCCGCACTTCCGGCACGTCTTGTTTTTCTCGAACTGGTGGTCCCCACACTGCTCGCAATGCCAGTCCCCCTCCTGACACATCAGGTCGAGAAGGATAACGATGGAAGCAAAAACATCACCGGAATCACATAGATGTTGTTCTGGCGCTGGAGCGGGAGGACCAAGGGGAGGACAAGACAAAGACAGAAGGGGAGGACGAGCAGACTCACGAAGCAACTCATGGGAGCCATTCGTGCAAACAATGAAGGCCTACCGGTCCCGAAGAAGGGGCCATCCAGCCAGATCATACCGAATACTATTGTGGGCCCGACTAAAAAGAATTGCGCAGCACTGAGCAGGATTAGGCCTGCGTTGGACCACACACATTCCAGCGCGGATGCTGAACGCCTGTCCTCCCAGGAGTTGCATCCAAAGAAAGGCTGAGGACGCGCATGACGAGGGAGGGTGGGGGAACCAAAAGGTTCCGATGCCACTACTCCCTGGACCTCTCCCGGGGTGCGTTCTGACCAGGATTTCGAGGCGAAACCAGCGGTGGCGACGAGGGCCTCTCATGAAGCCCAAAAAGGAAAAAACCGGGGAAAGGTAGAGGTACGTGTACCTTTGCCTCCTCCGAGAGGGAGGGAGGCCTGACACGAGGAAGGACGGGGAGGGAGAAGGGAACGGGGAGGACAGGGTGGGGCAAGGGAGCAGCCGGTGCCTGGGCTCGGAGCCTCGCTGCCCGAGGGGGCCCGCCGCGCAGCCGCGTCGGGGGGGGCCGCGGGAGGACGACCAGTGGGTGATGGGGCAGGAGGTGGAGCAGAGGCAGCCTTCCCCCCCCCCGCAAGCTGTCCAGCTCACTCCCACCCGCCCTCCCAGCGCACGAGTACCACTCGAGCCTCGGCATGTTCAGCGGTCGGGTCAAGGGAAAGGGCCCCCCGAGACATGAGGCCAGGGCCGCGTGATGTAACGACGGGGCGCACCGACGTCCACAGTGTAAGATTGAAGCGGAAGCCGTCTCTAATCCGCGCGCCTTCATCCATCTTCGCGCTTCCTCGAGCTTAGCAGCAACAATGATCCGATGAAGTGAGACTGACTGGCAGTCGGCCAAAGGCACCCGGTGTTCGTGCGATTGGCGAATAGATGGGTACGAGCGCCAGTGAAGGATGAGAGGGGGGAGGCAACAGGCTAGCGGCTAGGATGACATCCAGAGGCCCCCAACGAGGAGCTTGAACAGGGACGAAGACGCTCCAACACTGGAGGGGGAGCAGGTCAGCTGTGCTCGGCGACGGATGGCGGCGCTCGCCGCGGGGGTCCTTGAACTCCATCCCCTCGAGCGCTTGCTAGGGCCTGCGCTACGGGATTGAGCCGCGCCACCCGCGGTGGGCTCCTCCACGTGCTCACGTCACTGCTCCTGTCGGGGGTTACTCTAGGTGCCCCTGGCCCAAGGTGCCCCAGGATTGTCGATCAATTTTGGATCACCTGGGGAAATCCTGGGTGGCACCTTGGGCCAGGGGCACTTCTAGCAACACCCGGTCCTGCCCTGCCAGCGCTGCAAAGAAGGGGGGTAGGCGGGAGGGGGAAGGGCCTCTTGGAAGGCGGCGGCCTCTTGCAGGGCGCCGGCCTTGCACCTAGAGCTGAGGCCCGCGCCCTCAGAGACGCAGAGGGTGCTTCCAAGGAGCCTCCCCCGCCCCCATGCCCCCCCCACCTGCGCGTGGCCGGCTGCTCCTGCCCTCCCCCCCCCAGCTCCCCCCTCCAATTGTGCCCCTCCCCGGCTCGTCCTCCTCGTGCCCGTCCTCCTCGTGCCCACATCCTGCCTCCCCCCACCCCCGCCTCCTCCTCCTCCTCCTCCTCCTCCTCCTCCTCCAGAAGACATTGTCTTGTCGCAGTCTCCTCGTCCTCCTCGTCCTCCTCCTCCTCCTCATCATCAGAATCATCAGCATCATCAGCATCATCGTCATCGCAGACATTATCATCGTCTGCATCGTCCTGTTCTTCAGTCACATCCCCCCCCACACTGACCACATCCCCCTCTCCTCCTTCTCCCCGTCGTCTCTCTTGATATCCTCCTTTCCTGCTCCTCCCCATACCCCTGCCCTCCTGTTCTGTTTCCTATTCCAACTACTTCCCTACACCCCTCCTGCACCTCCTCGTCCATCCGTCTTATAGCCTTCTCTTGCAATCAATGGAACCTTTCGCCAGCGAAGAAAAATTGGCTAGACGAAGGCGATGGCGAAGGCGGCGGCGACGACGACGACGACGCCAGCGGCGGCTACGACGACGACGATGTCGGCGGTGGCGACGGCGACGACGACGACGCTGGCGAAGGTGCCGACGGTGACGCTGGCGGCGGTGACGAGGACAACGGTGGCGACGGCGGTGCGGTGGTGACGGCGACGGAGGCAACGGTTGCAACGGCGCGGGCGGTTTTTGTGACGACCACGGCGGTAACGGCGACGGCACCCGTAGCGACGTCACATCAGAAGTTTTCCCTGCTCGAGCTGCCACGACGGCGGCCGTTCGGGACGATCTGGGCAGCCAAGGGATGCTCTCGGCAAACCCGCTGAAGGCACACCGTGGCCAAAATCCGCCAGGAACCGACAACAACGCTTAAGAACCTGGAGCCTCAATCATTCGAGCGACGAAAACATCCTAACACGATCCTAGGGCAACTATCCTCGCGGTTCACACTCCGCGAAGCGCGAGTATCTTCGCGTTTTCGAGCCGAACTCTCCCAGAGGCTCGCGCCTCGTTCTGAACTCGCCCACACTGCGAAGCGCGACAAACTTCGCACCCTCGTGGTGGCCCTAGACAATCGTGGGTCGGGCAGGCGGCCCTGCGCTTACCACCACCACCACCACCACCACCACCACCACCACCACCACCACCACCACCACCACCACCACCACCACCACCACCACCACCACCACCACCACCACCACCACCACCACCACCACCACCACCACCACCACCACCACCACCACCACCACCACCACCACCACCACACCCACCACCCACCACCACCCACCCACCACCACCACCACCACCACCACCCACCACCACCACCACACACCACCACCACCACCACCACACCACCACCACCACCACCACCACCACCACCACCCACCACCACCCACCACCACACCACCACCACCCCCGATGTTGCCCCCCCCCCTGCAGCGCGCCCGCCTGCGCACGCAGCGCGCCCACCTCCTCCTCCTCCTCCTCCTCCTCCTCCTCCTCCTCCTCCTCCTCTCCTCCTCCTCCTCCTCCTCCTTCTCCTCCCCCTCCAGATGCTCCTCTTGCTGCTCTGTCCTTATTATGGTCGTCCCTGCCGCCTCCCATCTTTCTCCTCGAACGTCCTCCCCTCCTCCCTCAGCCACCTCTCTTCTGATCCTCCTCCCACTCATTCCTGCTCCCCCCCTCTCTTCCGCCTGGCCTCCTCCTCCTCCTCCTCCTCCTCCGCCTCCTCCTCCTCCACTTCCTCCTCCTCATTTTTCTCCTCTTCGGCCTCCCCATGCCGCTGGTTATGTGGAGCCCCTGGGGTGGTCGTTGTGCAAGACGCACGTGGCGGCGGTAAGGGTGTGCGCGTGGCCTTCGCCCGAACACCACCTGCATAATCACCTAAATAACCAGGAAGCAAGGGGGACACATGCACACGAGGATTTTACCTCGAGGACAGCCCGGCAGCAAGACCGGATGTCTTTGCATTTCGAGGTCATCGTTTCGATGCTTCCACCTCGAAGCCTCCACCCCGAGGTCTTTATCGAGGGGTGTTTTTTCCGCCTCTTCGAAAACCAGATCGAAGTCTTCACATGCCTGACCAGCTTGAAGGCCGACCGCTTCACTTTGAACACGCAGCAGAAACTCCCACGCCAGCAACCAGATGATGCCCACCTCCGCCTCGCCGGAAAAATGCGCCAACTTCACAAGCTGGCTCACGACCGTCTCGTTCATGATCTTCGATACGCGTTTCGTGCCACCAGTGGCCGCAACGTGGACCATCTTCGCACCTTTGAACGTGAGCTTGACGGCCTCCGTGTACCATCCTGTGGACAAGCCCAAATGCACGCAAGTCCACCGGACGCTGCCGACGTAGTTGGCCGCAGTGTAGGGGTTCCGGAAGATGGCCACGTACGACTCCACGTGCTGGCTGCACTGCGGGGGCAGCGTGGCGCCAGGCGCGACGCCCAAGACGGCAACTGCGAAGGCATGCCACGATTTCAATGCCGCCGCCACTTGAGGAAGCGAGGCGCACTTAGCCTGGAGGCGCAGAGCAGCAGCCTTGGCCTGCATCAACCCACCCTGCGCACGCGCAATACCTAGCTTCTCCACGGCCTGCTTCGGGGTGGGCGTGGCCCCTACTCCATCGGCGCCCCACGCGGCGAACAGCTCGTCCAGCCGGACCCGCGACTGGCCGCTGCTGAAGCTGGACAGCTCCACCGCCACGTCCGCGGCCGCAGCAGGCGGGCCGCCTGCAGGGGCAATGGCGCCCTGCGATGACAGGGTGACCGACGAAGACGACGGCCCGATCAGCGAGGAGGACGCCCTCAAGCTCCTCCTCCTCCTCCTCTTCGCATGCGCCTCCACGGACTCCACGAGGTGCTTGACCATGGACTTTTCCGCCGTGCCCATGTGCAGGCTGTCGAGGTCATTGATGTCCACGCCCTCCACGTGCAGCACCTGGCGAAAACCGTGCAGGACGAGAACAACAGCGCATCGGTGAACGACGGTCTCGTCCAGGTCCCCGGGGACGTACTCCGGCAGTGCCAACTCGATGGAACGGACGGCCTCCAGGAACGGCAGGCTTGGTCATGACGTCCTCTGCCGTTCTCTTCCTCTTCGTGCCTTTGACTGCGCTCTTCCACTTGCTAGCCAACAACTGACCCATGACCTGGCACCTAGTGCCGGCGCCATAGACGCCGATCGGCCACCAGATGGCCAATGCCGGTGGCGCACAACAGACTGGCTGTTGGCGTCAGCGCTGCAATCTGCTTCAGCAGGCCCGGGAGCCTCTCGAACTCCTTCGCAGAGACGGCGTTCACGACCGCACTCCGGAGCCCCTGGGTCCGCCGCTCGGCATGAGAGGACATGAGAACGCCCGGCAGGGAGCGCTGCGCCGCAGCCCTGACACTCGAGCACAGCGGCAATCGACCCGGCACGCAGGGGAGGGAGGGCCAGGAATGCCTCTCGGCAAACCCCCCCCCCCCCCAAGCTTCTTTAAGGGGGGGCTTTCGGGAGCCAGGCGGCGGCCCCGGGGACTCCGAAGCAGAGCGCCAGCAACAGGGGGGCCGGAAAACGACGGCCCGCCAAGCCGCGCTCCACCAACCACCCGGCGACACTGCGGCGAGACCCCCCCCGCCCCGGGCTCCGCAAGGCGTAGCGCCGAGCCAACCACGAGGCCGCTGCAAGAGAGGCACGCGCGCGCGGCGCGGCCGCACTTGCCCGCCCAGGTGCAAACAGGCCGCTTTTTCCTCGATGCAATCAACGACTGCTCTGCGCCACCAACAAATATTAAAAACTACTTATATGCCATATGTTCGCCGCCCAACTCGGCATCTGTGGCGCTCTGAACACCGCCCCGAGCTCACGGAGCAAGGACCACTCGTCACGGGTTGGGTCATCCGCTACATTCGCATGGGATTCCACGCGCACGGCATGCAGGCCTATCTGGTACCTTGCAACGTCCAACCAGACCTTGCCGACGACGAGATTGGCGTCCTCGGCGCCCGCCCTGCCGTTCAGCAGCGCATGGAGGACGCCCTGATTGTCTATGGACACCGTGAAGGGCCCCGCGCAGCAGGTCGGAGAACGTCTCGTACGCCAGCGGGACGGCAAGAAGCTCCTGGAGGCCAATCTGGTGATCGCCTCGCGGGAGGAGCTGGCGCCAGATAGACTCGCCCAGCTGCATGCGCGTGAACAGCCAGCGCCGATCTACGCGGAGAACGGCTGCTAACCAGCGGCTTGCGCCAGCCGCATCCGTCCACAGATGAACGTGCCGCCTCGTTGCATCAGGGACCGAGTGGACAATCGCTGGAACCTCGGCCAAGTACTCGAGCCACCACGCCGCTGCCTGAAGCAGCCAGCAAGACGCGCCCTCACCCCGCAGCGGCGCGTGCGCCTGCGCGAAGAAAGGTTTGATGTACGCCCTGCCGACTTTGCCCGCGGTGACGGACACGGCGAACGACAGCCGGCCAGCCATCTTCATAGCTGTCTCTTGGCTGCAGCGGCGATCGCAGAGAATCTGCCAGAGGATGGCCTTGTACTTGACAGCCTTGTCGTCGGAAACCTGCACGGAGATCGTCGCGCACAGCATGTCCATGGCAAC